GAGAAGGACGGCCCGAGGTGATTCTCGTCTTTTCGAAACAGAAGGACCGGAAAAGAGACAGGTCACGAGTGGAATTCGTGATCTGGTCATGTTGAGTTTCTTCTTTTTCAGAACCGAGTTGTTTCTACCGGAGATCAAGATGTCCACTCGAACCGACTTACGTCCTTGAAAAGTGCCTGTTTGTTCCACACGCGAGCAAAACGGCTTGTTTTATCCCACTTGTCTGGCATCACATCCTGTCTGTTTGGCCTCGCTGTTTATTTATTGCAAGGATCATATTTGTTTGATCACGAAGTATAAGTGCTTAAACCTATCCGTTATAGCTGGTATCCGGAACCCAGCAGATGAGTTATTGCTTCCGAAGGTAATTGCTATTTATAATAGACAAATAGAATAGAGCTTGTGGCTTGACTCATTTGACGGAATCTTTTGTGTTTTTTCTGATTTTATTGATTTTATTTTTCTATTCATAATGCAAGTCTGTTAGCGGTTGTACAAAATCGGACAGTTTTTAGTGACTGGATCAACTCTACTATCCTCAAAGTATTGATTTTACCTGTTCGAGTGTTTTATCATTTCTCTTTGTTTTATTGAAATTTTCATATCATTGTTTGTCCTTTACTGGGAAGATAGTGCAAAACACCTGAATTCCATCTGTCTTGTTGTGCACTGGTTCCCAGTCTTGTGAGCTAAACAAGTATTGAAACGTGGAGTAGCTTGCAACGGTTGCGGTTTTCATTTTAGTCTCTCTAAGAATGTGTGAATCGACCGATCCTACGACTTCACTGGTTGGACGCACACATGCTACCATCGTTGATCATTGGGTAGCCGCCCCCAAACAGCATAACTTTTTCTATGCTTAACTCATCTTTACATGCTTACTGCTACCGTACAGACCTCAGCATCAGTTATTTGTTCATCATGTGATTCAACTATAGGTCCTAAGCTAGATCGTTGATTAGATCTGTGTATTTTCATTGTTCGTGAGGATAAAGATTTTCAAAGTTGGGTCAGTCTGATTGCGTCGTCAAATCCTCCCAAGTCTGATTGACACTATATATGCACCGAACTCATCTATGTACGCCCACTGGACTTCATTAGGAACCTCTGGCAAGGTCTGTAACGTCTGTCGATCAATGATTTAAAACCATATTTACAAGTGCGATTCGTGGTCAATGAAATAGACTTGCCTAGGTTTATACACCCACAAACGATTGAATCGATGGTCAAACGGTTGACCATTTATACCTTGGCATTTTGAATCACTAAAAAAATAAATACATAGATTCATAAACCACATTCGAACATGTTATTGCCAAAGTTGATTTACGCTTCCCACCATTCCTAAGTGCATTTCCCCCGCATTAAGATGGTGTGTTTGTATGCAAAATTGTCACAGGACAAACTCACATTTCCGGTGTATTGTAAGTGTTGTACCAGTGTTTCCACCTGCTCGTCGGAACACAGAGGGTTGACATTTTCGCGGACCCGATCGGAAAATCGATCCCACTTGTCTATCTGGAACAACAAATCAGCTGTCCATTCGGGAAGTAACGAGGCAACCTCCATCAAAAGTGCATTGGTTCGAGGCAGGCTCTGGGTGAATAAGACAAAGTAGTGATTAGAATTGTTGCCAATTTAATGTTCCTCTACTGTCTATAGTTGTGCGTTACTGATTGGAGTATAGCATCTTTCTGACTGCTGCTCAAGTAAGGTTGAAATGAATGACTTTGTGAAAGGACGGTTCTGTCGGACATATGAAAAACTTCAACAGATCTCAAGAAGTAATTGTCCAGATAGTCTCCAGATAGTCAGTTCATATTGATGATTCTTTGAAAAAAGACCTTAAATATTTGTACGACTGAATGTGCGAAAGAGATTGATGTTCTTTGGTTCTCCGCGTTTATTGATTGTATTGCCAAACAATTTTTTTTCACGTGGAGATGTAGATCATTGGCGGACCGTCATTTGAAGTGTTCTGTTCTAACGTCCAAATAACGGGAGTTAATGACTGACTCTACAGAAAGATTCGAGTTTTGATCGACAAGCTGATGTGCAAATTTTGAGCGTCGCGACTTGGAAATATAATCATCATCTCAATTGACTGATCCTGGCCATTATCAGTCGATGAACGACCAACATTTATTCCAAGACCTAGAACAAGACTCATTTTATGATTTATTAAAGACCTCACCTGCTATGCATGTCAGAAAAATGTGAAATCATGTTTACAATGATTCCCAAGCATACTAACTGATCGAAATCAGCCGCGTTTAATTTCTGCTGTCTGGTGTTTTAGCTGTAACGAGAAGATAAGTGGATGTGTGTGTGTCTACATGTGACTACTTTGCTCCCATAGGATTGACCCATTCCCTCTCGTGGGTCAAACAACGTGTCATTTTTTACAAGGTCATGTCAGCTGGCCTAGCTGTTGCAGCTATGTATATTGGAGCCTCAAAGACAAATGTAAATTACCGTCAGTATCCAAACGCGAATCGTTTTTGATTGGTCGGACATAGAAATCTGTAGCATCATTTAGAAAATAGTACCATTCTTTTTGTTTGGCTAATGTGAAGAATATAGTCTGGAGCACTCGGTGAGTGTAAGACCCGTCGACTTGGGTGCTGATCGGCACCGTGGATGATCCGGTATAAAAGTGAAGAGAAGATCTAGATAGCGGAATACAGACAAGATGTATGTTCTCCTCATCATTCAGCGTACTACGATTGTCGATTTCGGGTGCATCTATTCAACCGAATCAATTTTGGTGAACTGCGAATCCAGTCTGACAATTTTCAAGGACAAGAACACTGATTCAAAGATTAGAAGTTGACTGACTATACCTCTTTCAGTTCAAGATGTTCGAATATCACTTTAAGATGCCATGTTGCTATGTGGATAGTACGATAGTGCCATTGCTCGGTCTTGCACATTTTACGAAATTGGATAGGTCACTGTTCAGAGGTAATCGTAATCGTAATAAAACATCTTTCGTCCCTTCAAACAGGCTTAGCTACAAGAAGTTCATGTCAATAATCCTGAGCGCCGACTAGAATTTCGCGCATGATACCTGGCACACTTGGATATGTGGCAAACAGTTTTCATGGATGAAATCATTTTTTATGTGAACGGAAACGTTACTAGTTCTATTCGTTGAGCCGTTGGAAACCCAAGACACTCTGTTGACTCAAAATCGCTTCATAATCCCAAAGTGTTAGTATGGGCTAGTATTATTCATGACAATATTATCGGACCAGACTATTTTTAACGTAAACGTAACACGTAAGACCAGTTTTGATTATTACATTGTTTAGGGAGCCTCATAACCGCAAATGTTTCAAGGTAATGTGGTACCTGCTATCTGGCATATATAAACAGAAATTAGTATCAGTTTGGTTCCGACATGACGGTGCACCGCCGTACACTGCTTTGGTATTGAGAAGTTTCCTCGATTCGGAATCCAGCTGCCAACGGATTGTCCGAGGATGACCAAAAGGATGGCCTCCAAGATTAACTTATCCGTCTCCCTTGGATTTCTTTCTGTGGGCATATTTAAAGAAAATATTTTATTCCCGAAAATCGACGACGATCGAGGAGCTAAAGCAGTTTATCGTCAAGCCGTAAGAGAGTATTACAATTGTTACTGTTCTGAAGGTGGAAGAAAACTATCTTCGCCGTTTTTTGCTATACAAGCAGCAGGATGGAAAATAACAACAACAACTTTTATAAAATAAATATGCATTTTCCCATAATATTAGTTCTTTCTTTCTTTCGGAATTCTATCTCATCCGTAGTTAGCAAGATCATTCAACGCGGAAAAGCCAGTTAGTAAAACTCCAAGAAGAGTTTTGTGTTGGCCTATATTAGTGAATATTGTAGTCCGTACTTAAGGCAAGTTTTATCATTATGATTATCCGTTTGCCGAACGGGCTTGGAAAAATAGTACGTGTATCTTAGACGAGTCAAACGTTGGCCCGCGTGGTCTTCGTTTGAACGTTTTCCAGTCCGAATTTCCCACATAGTGTATCGTTCCACAACTGATTCTCCTGTGGTGATTCTCTACCAACACTTAAGCAGCATCGAACT